AAATAGAAATATTTTAGCGTTTATTGTAGTTTTTCTAATTGTATTTTTAGTGGACCATTAGTGGCAGCCGCTGTAAATGGCAAGCTGATAACTTTCCAACGACTTTCCGGCTAATCATTTTTGGTGACTACCGTTAATGATCCACTAAGAAACCAATGAGCAAAACTTTAGTGATCAGCTATATAGGTCCAGCTATAGAATGTTTGTTAGGTATTGTTTCTGGGCTCCGATAACTTTAATTTTTGTAAAATATTCTTATTTGACATCAATACTAATATTGAAAAATTCTAAGTTTGCACCATCTCTTACCTATTAGTTACCTATTACGAACACCAAAAATCTATGACCTCCCTGTTTAATCAACTTTTTTGGTATAAGACGTCAAAAATTTTCTTTTTCGCCGCCACTGTTGTCAAAAAAAAAAGAGCGTTTAACCAACTGTATCTGAAATCTCTGAAATGGAATCTCTGATAACTTTATTAAATTACAAAAATTACTAACTTAACAAAAAAAAAAAGTTACATAGTAACTTTTTTATTTTGTTTTTTTTTGACAACAATAGCGGCAAAAAAAACAAATTTACGAGTTTTTTTTTTAATTTTTATTGCAAATTTTTTAATTGCTAACTAAAAAATCATGCAGATAAAGAAATATGATATAATAAACCTTCTGATAAAATATTATTGTTCAATGGCAGACAAATGTGTAAAAGCAATGGATTTTTAAAACGCTTGTTATATTTGCCTTATTTCCCCCAACGAATTTAAAAATTTTTCAGTTAACTAAAATCTCACGGTGACATCTATTTATATTGGAGTTACATATAAAAACATTTAAGATAATCAAAAACATAATAAAATACATAAAGAATGCAAAAGTATTTTATGGGTTTTTGAACATATTTTACGTAAAAAATGTAAAAAAAGAACGTAAAGATTAAACTTAGTGACAGGTCGAATATGGTAGCAAAAACTTTCTCAAACAGTAAAAAAAACTATAATTAAAGAGTGAAGTCGTTTTTTAACGCCTTTTTAAATAACCCCGACATTGGGGCAATTTAGATATAAATCGTTTTGCATCGAAATTTAATATCTTTTAATAAATCGTTTTGCATCAAAGTTCGATATCTTCATAAATTAAAAAAGAATGAAATTTAATTTTATCATATTAAATTTTTTTAACGTGTCTTTTCTTATAAAATCACTGTACCCTTTATTTGGAAAAATAAATCTTATTCCTTTTCTACTAAGGTTAACTTTAAAAAATTTGACCCAATAGATGCTACATTCAATAGATGCTACATTCAATAGATGCTACATTCAACTACTTTTATGATAACAATCGAGTGTGAATTTTGGAAATGATTTTTTACAATAACAGTTTCACCAACATACTTTATAATATAACAATATAATAGCAATATACTTTAACTTCTTTATAATTTTTTAGCTTTTCTGAGCTTCTAACAATACCTTTAGAAATGCTATTGAATGACGATCTTGCACTTTTATTTGGAGGCATAAAAAATTCTTTACTAGTACCAGCTATCTCTCCTATAATATCAAAGAAAGCAGTTACATTTTCTAAATTTTTTTCTCACTCAAAATTTGATTTTTTTTTTACTTTCTTTGGACTAACTAGAGTTATTTGAAATATGATATCTTGAGCACAAATTCCTTTACCTGGTGATACATTGAATCGTTTACGTCTAGAAACTTTTGTATAAGTTTTTTTGCAATTATCATGTCGCATATCTTTTAGCTTGTCTAATACTATATTGGATGTGTTGAGCTTCATTGTTTTGCTCTCAACATTTGACTCTGGTCTTGATTTTGGACAGTCTTTATTCAAAGGATATATGCCCGACTTTTTGAAACCAGAAATATAGATATTTTATAGATATTGTCTTGTGACATTTTTTCCATTAACTGAGACAAAAGATGAAGAAAAGCTAATTTTGGTAAAGTTTTCTGTCTCCTTCCAGTTAGTAAGGATCAACCTCAAATAATGCTTTAAGGGAGCAAAAAAAGCAACATCTAATGGTTGCAGGAGATAAGAGGTTTTAGGTGGAAGACATGTGAACATGATATCATATTCTTCACAGGCATGTAGCACATTTTTTGAGAAATGTGAAGATAAGTTGTCACCAATTACAATTTTATTTCCTTCTTTGTATTCTATATATAGAATGATTATTTTAAAAAACCAAACTTCAAAGCAAAAAGTATAAAACTATCCACTTTTACTTCGGTTATAAACAGTTTTATCAGTTCCAGCTTCTATCCAAGTATCCCACAAATGTTCTGATTTATAAACAACATAAATGGGTAAAACAGTACCAGTAGTAGTTCCGGCAAACATTAAACTTGTTAAGTTTTTAGAACTGTTTAAAACTCTTTCTGGGTACTTAGTACCTCGTTTAAATATATATTTTTTGGCTCCAGGATTATTACTCAAGTTTGTCTTGTTATAGTTGATGAGGCAGTCAGGTGAAACATTTGTTATATTTATTTTAAGATTGTATATATATATATATATATATATATATATATATATATATATATATATATATATATATATATATATATATATATATATATACATATATATATATATACATATATATATATATACATATATATATATATATATATATATATATATATATATATATATATATATATATATATATATATATGTATATATATATATATATATATATATATATATATGTATATATATATATATATATGTATATATATATATATATATATATATATATATATATATATATATATATATATATATATATATATATATATATATATAAATATATATATATAAATATATATATATATACATATATATAAATATATACATATATATATATATATATATATATATATATATATATACATATATATATATATATACATATATATATATACATATATATATATATATATATATATATATATATATATATATATATATATATATATATATATATATATATATATATATATATATATATATATATATATATATATATATATATATATATATATACATATACAATACAAATTATAAATTTTACTTTCACAATAAAAAGACAGCATTTAAGTTTTTTAAAAATTTGCAAATAACCCCTATACCCTTTCCAAATAGCCCCTATGTATGAATCTCAAAATATTTTATGAAAAATTTTACTATATTTTAAATGCAATAATAAATTTAAACTGTTGGATTAATATATATTTTGATTAAATGGTCTTTAAATTCTTTCCGTTTCTTTATTTATTGCTTAGAAATAAAGTTTGTCATGTATTTATTCATAATTAAAAAACGTGGTTGTTTTAGTAGCAAGTTTTAACGCAATTCGGATAAATACAACCTCAATAACCATGGTAACAACAATTTAATTTTGGCAACAGACGAGTAGTTTAATTAAAATATTGAAAACATTCCTAATCCAAAAACTATTTGTAGAGCAAATAATTTAAGCAAAAAAGTAATAACTTCCAAATAACCGTTTACCTTCCAAATAGCCCCGATTTACGGTGTTTGAAATAACGCAATCTCAAAATAAATAATACTAATGAATTAACAATTAGACTAAAATAAGAAACGTGGTCAATCGTATAAAGATTTCAGGACATTATCAAAGATTCAATAGTGTCGTAGCTAAGATGTTTAAAAAAGAAGCAAAAACTCTACAATAAATTTCTAAAAAAAAAAAAGGAGCACTGATAATGAAAAAACATACAAAAACTATATATAAGGAGGGAAGTGTGAACTTCCTTTCAAATGCTCTTCTGCAGTTCGCTGTTATAAGACCGTAAGGACTTCTTGACCTAAAATAAAAATAATAATAATAAATATATTCACCAAAGTCTTAATAAAATTTCTAAAAATAAATACTACAATAATCAAATTATTAAATAATAAAATTTTATACTTTAACAATGTGCGGCCTTGACGCAATTGTTAGAGTTCTGGTTCAGAACCACGAGGTCCGAGGTTTGACGCCTATTAAGCGCCATTGGTAAGATGAGAGGCGTGAACTTCCTAGTTAAATGCTCTTCCGTGGCGCTCTGTAATAAGACCTTATGGACTTCTGGGATCACCTTAGTAACCACAATAATAATAAAACCAAAAAATTTAGCCACAAATATTTTGAAGAAGCTTTTTCCTCTTTACAAAAAAAAGGACCTGGTTTTGATAAAATATCTTGTGATATAGTTACTGCGAACAAAATTAGTCTAAGAAGACCTCTAAACAATATATTAAAGCTTTCAATAATTTCTGAGATTTTTCCTGATGAACTTCATTTAACAAAAGTAATTCTTATCTGCAAATTTGATGATCATTAGGATTTTATCAACAATTGACCTATATCAATACTTTATGTATTTTCAAAACTCTTTGCACGTGTAATTTATAATAGATCTATAATCACTTCAATAAACAATTAAAAACACGTTAATTTACTCAAATCAATTTGAATTTCAAAAAACCATTCAACTGAGCATGCAATCATTCAAATGGTCAACCAAATAACTGATAAATTTAAACAAAAAAAAATTTACTTTAGGAGTATTGATTGCCTTATCAAAAGCATTCAATACAGTGGTCCTCAGCTTTCTTTCGATAAAATAAAGCACTACGGTATAGTTAATAAAGCACTACGGTATAGTTAATAAAACTTATTATTTGATTAAAAGCTATTTTACCAGTAAAAATTTTTTTTTTTAAACTCTTCTCAGATATAACCTTATGCCAACTATAAAAAAGCAACAAGAGTAACTAAAATATCATCAACATTACTAGATAACGTAATAACTTACAATTTTCACAATAGCCGTTATGAAACGACTGCTTGAAGAAATAAAAATTCAAAACTTATTATTATAAAATTACAGATAATAATTATGAATATAAGTAAAAATACTGAAGAAATTATTAAAAAAATGCTTGAAGAGCAGAAAAATATTATATTAATGGAGACCGAAAGACTTCTCAAAGAACAAGAAAAAAACTTCGCAAAAATAACAAGCGCAAATATGAAGATTTTTACTGAAAGGTTGGATAAATTAGAACTCGATCTATCTACAAACAAAATAAAAACTTCTAATATCGAAAAGGACGTAGAAGAAATAAAAGAGAGTCTTAACTTCCAAGAAGAGTTAACTAAACAAAAGATTGCAGAAATAAATAAACGGACAGAAAGTGAAATTAAACATCTTTATGAGCAGAAACGTTTTGAATCTATAAAAGAAACAAATGCCATTAAAAACATAAGTGAGAAACTGGTTGATCTCGAAAATCGTTCACGAAGAAACAACCTGAGGATTGAAGGTGTAAATGAATTACCTGGTGAAACCTGGAATGACTGTGAAAAAATTGTGAAAGATATTTTTTCAAAAAAATTAAAAATCCCGAACGAAATAATAATTGAACGAGCTCATCGTTCAGGTCCAAAAAAAGTAGGCAAACACCGAACAATCTTCATAAAACTGTTAAATTACAACGATAAAAAAAGAATTCTCTTTAATAGTAAAAATTTACGTGGAACTGGTATTTTTATCAACGAAGATTTTGCTAAAGAAACAATCGAAACGCGAAAAAGACTCTGGGGTGAAGTATTAAACTTACGTAAAGAAGGTAAGTATGCTATTTTAAAGTTCGATAAGATCTATTGCAGAGAACTCAACAAATAAGTTTTTATCAAAAGAAACCCTTCTATAGATACACTTGTTAAAAATGAGCGGCGTTAATAATTTTGAAAACCAAATCTTTAATTTTTCTAAAATAGATTGCATCTCAAATGAATTCTCAGATCCCGACACTAACTATTATTGTGATTTGCTCAGTGATTGTTCATATTATTATCCAAGTGAATTAGCAGAGTTTCTTTTGAAGGATAATGTAAAAGCAAGCGATAAAATTAAAATTCTTCACGTAAATATTAGAAGCTTAAATCGCAATTTTGAAAATCTACTTAATTTATTAGAAGAAACTAAAAATATTTTTGATATACTTTGCTTAACAGAAACATGGATAACTATAAATGACCTAAAAAATAGTTCAAATTTTAACCTTCCTTATTTTAAATTAATATCTCAAGATAGGCAAACAAATAAACGCGGCGGTGGAATTTTTATTTACGTGAAAAAGAACATAATGCATTACGTTAGGAATGATTTGAGTGTTTCTGACGAGAATAAAGAAATTTTAACGATTGAAATTGTAAACAATCAAACAAAAAACATTCTATTAAGCTGCTGTTATCGACCACCTGATGGTCTGAGCAAAAATTTGAGCATTTTTTTTGAACAAAACATATTTAAAAAAAGCACAAAAGAAAAAAAAAAAGTTTTTGTTATTGGAGACTTCAATATGAATACTTTTTCTTATTATGAGGATTCTAAAGTTAAAAAGTTTTATGACGCAATATTTGAATTAGGAGCAGTTCCTTTAATTAATCGACCGACAAGAGTATCAATAAACACAACTACTCTTATCGATAATATTATTACAACCGATATCCTTAATAAAAACATACAAAAAGGTATCTTAAAAACTGATATTTCCGATCACTTCCCTATATTTTTAACATTTAACTGTAATTCCGAAACTATGATTAAGACAAGCAAAAAAATTAGACTGCGTCATATTAACAAAGACAATATTAATCATTTTAAAGAGCAACTATCATTGCTCCATTGGAAACATATAAACTTTAACGATGACGCAAACTCTATATATGATAATTTTTTCAACACATTATATCCTATCTACGATGCAAATTTTCCATTCATAGAAAAGACAATAAATCCAAAAAAAACATTCAATCCCTGGATTACCAAAGATTTTAAAAAATCATCGAAGATCAAGCAGAAACTGTATATAAAGTATTTAAAAACAAAGTCCCCAGAAAATGAAAAAATATACAAAGATTATAAATATCAGTTTGAAAAAACTCGAAAAAGTTTGAAAAAAAATTACTACTCTAGCTTAATCGATAAGTATAAAAATAACTCCAAACGTACATGGGAAATAATAAAAGAAATAAGCGGAAAACAAAAAGACTGCTCAGGTTTCCTTCCCCAGGTCATCAAGGTTGATAACAGAATCATCTATGAACAAAAAGAAATAGCTTGCGAGTTTAATCATTTTTTTGTTAAAATTGGTCCTGAACTGGCCAATAAGATTCCAAAGACGCAGGCTATATTTAGTGATTTTCTAGTACCGATGACTGATTGCATTACGTCTGGAGAGTTGTCTTCTAAATTATCATTTGAAGAATTTGAAATAGCATTTAAAACTCTGAAAAAAAATAAAGCTACTGGAGCAGATGACATTAATTGTAATATAATTCTAAACTGTTTCGAACAATTAAAAGATATTCTCTTTAAAGTTTTTAGCGCATCAATTAATCAAGGAATTTTTCCTGAACAACTAAAAATTGCAAAAATTACCCCAATTTTTAAAGAAGGTGATAGGGCTATTATTAGCAACTACCGACCCATTTCTATCTTACCTATATTTTCAAAAATATTAGAAAGAATTATGTATAATAGAGTCTATGATTATTTTCAATGCAATAACCTACTATATAGCAATCAATTTGGCTTTAAAAAGCACAACTCCACGGAACATGCAATCATTCAATTTGTACGCGAAATTTCAAAATTCTTTTAAAATTCCCAATACACACTAGGTATCTTCATTGACCTATCTAAGGCTTTTGATACAGTAGATCACACTATATTACTGCATAAGCTTAAATATTATGGTATAAACAAAAAAACTTTAAGATGGTTTGAAAGCTACCTATCAAATCGTAAACAATTTGTTTCTTGTAAGGATGATTGCCAAAAAAATTTATTAGATATATCTTGCGGTGTTCCTCAAGGCTCTATATTGGGACCCCTCTTATTCTTGATTTACATTAATGACTTAAATAAAGCTTCAAATCTACTTAGCATTATGTTCGCTGATGATACTAACCTATTTCTTTCTGATACTGACATCTCCAAACTGTTTTGTAATATAAATGACGAACTTAAAAAAGTATCTAGTTGGTTCAAGTGTAACAAATTAACTCTTAATCCTAATAAAACAAAATGGATTATTTTCCACCCGCTTCAAAAAAAACGTTACCTACCCTTAAATCTGCCTAAAATATTTATTAACCAAATTGAGATTAAGAGGGACTCTGTCATAAAGTTTTTAGGAGTCTATCTTGATGAGCACATTACATGGAAACAGCATATTGATCACGTATGTACCAAGATTTCTAAAAATATTGGAATTTTATATAAATCTAGAGATTATCTAAATAAAAATAGTTTGACCCAACTCTATCATTCGTTCATCCATAATTATATAAATTATGCAAATATTGCTTGGGGAAGTGCTGGAAAGAATAAGTTGAAACGTCTTTTTTCACGTCAGAAACACGCAATTCGTACTATTAATTTTTCCGATCGCTTTACTCATTCGAAACCCTTATTTAACGAAATGAGAATACTTAATATTTACGAAGTGAATTTATATAATACTCTATGTTTTGTATATATGTGGAAAAATAACTTATCTCCTGACGTTTTTAAAAATATTTTTACTTTGAAACCAGACAATAAGTATGCACTGAGAAATAATAATTTGCTAAATCAAGTTTTATGTCGAACCAAGTTTAATCAGCTTTGTATTGATTATCGTGCACCTAATCTTTGGAATAAAGTTATTTTGCAAAATTTTGATCTACCTTCCTCTTTTTCTATTTTCAAAACTAAACTTAAAAATCTAATTCTTTCTATGGAGAACGTTTTTCTATATTACTAGTGTTATGGGTTTGTCTACCTATTATTAAAACTAAGTTTACCTATTTATATAGTTACATTGAGATTGTACTGAAACTGATAGCTGTGAATAGATGTATAAATATTTATTATTTGAGTTCGTATTATATATTGCTTTATATTATATATTGCTAGTATGTATAAATTTTCAGGTTTATTTTATCTTTTATTTAGTATTTGAAAAAACAAAAAACAAAAAAATTTTATTACGGTTTTTATAACACGGTTTTGTAAAAATTAAAAAGAAAAAAAAAAAAAAAAAAAAAAAGAAAAAATAAATAAAAAAAAAATAAAAATAAAATAAAATCAATAAATTATGTATAAATGCGTATGTGTATCTGTGTATGTATGTATTTATGTATGTATATTGGTATATATATGGGTGTATGGGTGTATATGTGCTGTTAGTATGGGTGTGTGTGTGCTTGCAGTCTATGTATATTAAAAAAAAAAAAAAATAAATAAATAAATAAAGAATAGTGCATCATAACCTCTGGCGTAGGAACACCCAACTATAACTGCTTAGCAATCGTTGGGCTGGATTGGGATTCGGTGATACCACCTATGATCGCTTGTATGATAAAGATGCAAACACAATATATACTTAAAAAAAAAACTATATTAGAACAAGAGCTAATTATCAACAAGAATTCAAGAACCCCACTCTGATTTTATTTTCTACAATTTTAATGCAAGAAATGTTCAATTCAATTATTATTTTTTTTTAATCTATTCGATTTATATTAACATCACCAACACACTATGACGTCATCAAACACATCGATAATTATACTGAAGTATATTATTTTTAACTATTCTATGCAACGGTTTATATAATTATTTATCGGAACAGATCCAATCCAAAAGCTAATAAACATTTACAAAAAATCAATAAAAATGAATTCATTTAAAGCGTTTTGATTCCAGCGGTTCTCTACGACAAGACCTCAAGGACTTCTTCGAGTTTCCGCATTCTTTATTCCTAATTTTTATTGTTATATTTATTGTCATATTTCTATTGTTAACGAAATCTTTATTGTAAATATTATTTATTTCTTTTTTTTTATGTCTTACGTTTTATTCACAAGTTATAATAGAAATTGTAGTAATGATTGTAATAAAGAATAAAAAATAAAAAAAATAAAAAAAAAAAATAAAAAAAAAAAATAAACGGGTATAATCAGGACTGACATAACTAATCATTTTCTTATATTCCTTAATACTGATAGCGTAAATTCTAAAATAATTAATTCTTATGATTTATTTCTGAACCAATTTTGTAAAATGTTTGATAAGGCAATTACTTTAAAGTTAAAAGTTATAAATTCTAAATCAATTCTATCCCCTTGATGACCAAAGGGCTACTATAATCATCAAGGAAAAAACAAAAGTTGTATGAAAAATATTTAAAACATTAAACTTATAAAAATGAAATTATTATGCTAAATTGCTTGAAATTAACAAAGGAAACACTTGAAAAACGTCGAATGTTATTTGAGAATTATTTGGAAAAAAACTGCAAAAAATAACTTTCCTCAAAAACTTTTTATTGATGGAAAGTTATTATTAAGAAATTGAACAGTTTTTTCCTTGATGTTGGTCCAAACTTAGCATCAAAAACTCCATTTAGTCAAAAATGACTTCATTCATATCTTACAACAACTGATATAATTATGGACAAACCAATTTTGAAAAAAGTGAACTCTATAATGTTTTTAATAAAAAATAAAAATGCATTTATTGATCAAATTAATGTTAATGTAATAAAATCTGTTTTTTATATTATCGAACCCTCATTATTCCATATTTTTAATCTCTCAGTTTAATCAGGTTAATCAGGTCATATTCTAGATAAATTAAAAAACGCAAAAATAATACTTTTTTACAAATCTGGTGATGAGACTAATATTTCAAACTACAGACCTATTTCAGTCTTGCCATGCTTTTCTAAACTAATTGAAGGCACCATATATAACAGACTTTATAAATATTTAACGGAAAATAAGATTTTATACTGTAATCAATATGGTTTAAAAAAATTCATTCTACTAACCGTGTAATAATTAAATTCGTTAAATATATATCAAGTGGGTTTAATAGTGATTGTTATACAATTGGGGTTTTTATTGATTTATCCACAGCTTTCGACAAAATTATGACATTAAAAACAAAAGTTTATTTTGGTTTAATCATATCTAACTAACAGAAAGCAATTTATACTTAAGAATCAAAATATTCAAAAAACAACTTAATAACTTGTGAGGTACCCCAAAGTTCAAATTTTAGGACCATTATTATTTTTACTTAAAATAACAATGATCGTAAAATTGAAACCTGGGGTACCCCACAGGTACCCCAGGCCGGATATTTTTTTTAAATATATATATATATTTTTCGTTCTTACACAGCTATCTTTCTTACTGTAAAGTTGCCTGGGGTGGCACTTATCATACTAAACTCAAAAAATATGTACCAAACAAAAACATGTTCTGCAAGATAATATTTGAGGCAAACAGAAATGCGAGTGAACCTCTCATACAACAGCTTGTAACTTTAAATATTTATAAGATTATTATTGATCAAGTAATATTATTTATGTTTAAAGCAAAACGTGGGTTATCTCCAGTAACATTTCAATCTTACTTTAATGAAATCTCTCATAAATATCCTACCAAATTTTCAGAGAATAACTTTGTCATTCCCATAAACCATCTTAAATTAGGCTCGTACCAAATTCAATATTAGGGACCTTTTCTTTGGAAAAATTTTCTTCAAATTTTTAATGAAAAACAAGACTTTGTTTTAACCTAGGAAAAAAAGTTCTATAGAATTTTCTATAAACTTTTGAAACATATGGCCCATAGAAATTCTATAGAATTCTATTGAATTTCTATAGAATTTCTGTTAACTTTTATAAAAATTTCTATAGAAAATTTTTTTTCTACTTCTTTTTTATAGAAAAAAGTTTTAAAGCAATTATTTTAAAAGTTTTATAGCAATTAGAATGTCTATAGAAATTCTATAGAGTTTCTATTGGCCATATGTTTCAAAATTTTATAGAAAATTCTATAGAACTTTTTTCCTGGGAAGCTGTACTTTGGAAAGTTTTAAAGCTGATTCAAAACGACAATTATTAAACATGGATTTCGATATACTAGATTTCAAATCTCTTTTTTAAAAACAATTTAAAAGGTTTTGAATTAAATAAATTATCATTTAAAATTAATTTAGCTTTTTTACTGATTCTTTTCTTTTTTTTGTTTTAAATTTTTGTTGATATTTATTAATCAACCCTAAATACTTATTTATATTGCATTATTTTTAAAACTTTACGCAATTTATTGTGATTGATAACTTACACAATAATCTTACTATTGTCTTATTTTATTTTTTTAAATTATTCCGCTGGAAGATTGTTAGCAAAAATTTATTTTATTGCTAAGGTTTTGTATGTACTTATAATCTTTTATTTATCACTTATTAATTATGTAAATCTTTAAAAACGTTTGAAAACACCTATGTAATGAGGCTCGATGATAAGACAAGTTTGTCTTCTTTTTGCTCGAGCTAGGATTTTCTATTATTGTTATTTCTTTTTTGGAATTTTTAACAAACGCCCAAATGGTAAAATATAAAAAAAAAAGAAAAAAAAAAAAACAAGAAAAATCAATTAATCTAATGATAAATATTAAAAAGATAAAAATTAAAAAAAAATTTTTTAAATCAGCTCAATCAATTTTAACGAAGAAAAATTATGTCACAATATTTTTGGAAAGTTTTCTGCGAATATTCTTTTAAAATAAAGTAAATGTTTTTATGGCTTTTGTTGAATAAAAAAACAGATGAATGTTGATAAATATTTACTTAAATTGTATAAAAAAAACGCTGAAACATTTATGTTTGTTGTTTCGAACGGGTTGAAAAATATATTGCCTTTACTAGGAAGAAAATATATAACATAACCAATAAAAAGCAAAAATATATAAATAATAAAAACGACAATTTATGAAAACAGAAGATATAAGACTACAAAAAAAAAAAAAAAAAAAAAAAAAAAAAAATACAAAAAAAAAAGTTTTTTACCCAAACTTTATGTAAGTGTTTGTGAATACAGTTGTCTTGTTTACCCCAGTTTTTATGGTGTTAGCCAATGCAGTTTTTTTTTTTACCCCGAACTTTATGGTGTAAGTCAACGCAGTTGTTTTAAATTTAGATGTGAATGGTTAAAACATGAAGTTAGAATTTTATTTTTAAATAACTTTCAATAACTTTCTTTAGCAAGTAGTTTACTGATTTTTTTTTTCTTTTTATTATTTCCCTCATCATTTCATGGTTTTATTATATTTTTTATATTTACAGTATTTTAATATATAGTATTTTAGTAAATTAATTCAAGAAACTACTACGTCAAAAGATTAATGATGCATTTAAATTTTTCTGAAAACTTCTTTACTTTTACTCTTGTTTAAAGTCAGTAAAAAAAATGCATATGTTTCGTGAATAAATAAAATCAACATCTTTTTCTTCCGCTTTTTTTTATTGCTCATTGTTTACCAATATTTTTCGCTTCTATTTTTAAGTTTGTTACCCAAATATATTAAATATACAGAAAAGATTTACATTTTAGTGCTAAATTTTTAAACAACATTTGGTAAAAGCGTGTAGCAAGATGTTTGCGAAAAGCGCAAATCTCTTGGAAATCAAGCAACTACATTTAACATCCAATGAAAACAGGTTTATTGGTTATTGAAGGCAAAATAGTTTTAGCTTATATAACTGATTTTTATCGGCACCCTAATGTCTTGTCAAATAAAATTAGGGTTTTTCAGACAGCATCTGTTTTTATTATTTTTAAATAAAAAATAAAAGTCTAGCTAGGAATAATTGCTATACCGTCACAAAATTTTTTATCAAGAGATCTTAAGTTGAATAAGTCCAACACTGAATAATTCCAGTAATCAAGTTTATTTGATCTCGAACGCGCCTCGTATTAATTTTTACTTAAATTAGAATTTTTGTTTTTGTACTTTTCGATAATAAAAGAAAACATCGTTTTTTAAACGATTTTTCTTTTTGTTTTAACTGGATGATGTTTTAACTGAATTCAATGGATAAACAATAAAAACAAAATGTTGCCGCAAATTTAATAAGAAACTATCTTATCAAATATTCATTTGGATGTTTTAAAAAACATTTTCATCATTCATAAACTTCTTCTACTGGCATAAGCATCATGCCTTTATTTCAAGCGGCGATTGTTGCCAGGATTTTTCATAAGGATATCACTAAGCCAAAGGATCAAACAGGTCTTCATAAAAAAAATATTCAAAACCACAATTTGTATAATGACACTACAAACACATTTGATGAAAAAAAGTTAAAGAAAAGACCAAACGCTAGAAAGACATCCGAATGCGGTAAAAATTTTCTTTTAATTTGTCTCGTTTTGTCTCGTTTTGTAAGAAAATGAATAAATATTTTAAATAATAATGAAAATTACATAATATAATTTACGACTAATATTATTAGTTGTATAGGATTTTATTGGCTTTTAAATTTCTTGAATTCCTTTATTGAAAAGTTAAAGCATTTATTTTTTTATTTACTGAAAATACAAACAGCATATGCCTTTTATTAATGACAAGATAAGAAAAAAATAACCAACTGCACTGAACCTCTTTTAAGGCTCAGTGCAGTTGTTTGTTTAAGATATTTAGATTTTTAGCAAAAATAAAAAACGTTGTGTACTTATTATATATATATATATATATATATATATATATATATATATATATATATATATATATATATATATATATATATATATATATATATATATATATATATATATATATATATATATATATATATATATATATATATATATATATATATATATATATATATATATACAACTGTATATGGGGGTTAGCTGACACTGTCAACAACTAAAAAATTGTCTGAAGAAATTATGACTAATCTCTATAAATCTGATTTTAAATACTTTTTGTCATAACGCAAGCTATTAAACATGCTTACTTCCACGTAGTTTCTACACACAAGCATGATAATCAAACCCATTTTAAGTTGGTTTAAGTTTCCAAAACACTTTTATTTTATTTTTAAATATTTATACTATTTTTTAAAAACTGGTTTGTAATAATAATCTTTTAATAAGAAAAAATTGGGCAATTTTTCTTTGTGTGTAATTTAGTTATTTTATTTAAGCGTTTTATTAGCAATACAATTCTTTCTTTTTTTCTTAAGCGTTTAATTTTTTATTGTATTATTATCTTTTGAAAGATAGGGGGAGCATGTGCCTTAGCGCACCACCCCCTAGTTCAAATATAAAGTTAATTATCTTTTAAAAGATAATTAACTTTATAAAAACAATAAAAATTATCTTTTTTATTGTTTTTATCAAAATTAAATTTGATATAGAATGAACATCTTATTCCATACTTTTTCCCGCCTTTTTGATGGATATTAGGCGTTAATATATTTATTCATTTTTATTTATTTTCGACATTTCATGCTATATTTTTCTGTAAAATGCTCTTATATCTGAAGATACAAGAGCATTTTATAGAAAAATTGGCTTAGCATAACAGAACAGCCACAAATAGTCAATAAGACTAATCCAAAGTATCGTCCGATATTGACCAACATTTTTGCTCAAGCACTGAGTTGGCGGTGGCAGGATTTGAACTCGTATTGCACAACAGTCCAAGTTTTAACTTTTTTATTTAACGTTCTAACCAATTGAGCTATCCAGCCACAGTTAACTATCTAGGTATCCAGCCATATAGTTAACTTAAATTTTTTAAGTGCGCAAAATTGAATAAATTATTATTAAATTAGGTTTTTTTTTTAAATTTATTTATTAAAATTTTGTTTATTACACTTTACTTAAGTTTGGTGTTTACGCAACTAGGTTATGGCTTATTAAATAACTTGATGTTTATTTTTTGGTACAAGATCATGAGTTATTTAATAATTTTGTGCTTATATTCTGTGATAAGCTCATGACTTATTCAATAAATTGGTGTTTATATTCTGTTGCAAGGTCATGTTTTATTTAGGAATTTGTTGGTTTAAGTCCAGAACTTATGGATTACCGTTGCAAAACTTGTATATGTTGTTTAAAAGTTATGTTTGACCCCAGAGGGAGTATAACTTTGTTTTATTTTGCATCTCTATGTATCATGGCTAGCTTCAAACTGTAAAAGCAATAATGATCCTGCTATAAAACAATTATGAGCCACGTTGCCTTTTAAAACTAGAAGATGGTTGTCTTTAAAATTATAAAAGCAATAAAAATACTTCTTTAAAGCAAGTTTCTTTAGTGATTAATTTTTCAAATTTTTTCAAGTGCTATGTTGTTGGTAAGTGCTTATAATGTCAAAAAAAAAAAAAAAAAAAAAAGATGCTCAAACGGCTTGATAAAGAACACTTTAGTATACAAAATAACAACACTTTTAAAAGTTTAATGCATGTATAAAACAGATATTATTTACTGCCAGGTTAGTACTTTTTAGAAAGATAATTCAACCAAGCCATTTCACATTGTACATTAAAGAATTAATCGATGCAAATTAGTCATTTAATGAGCTGGCATTAAAAATGGTAATTCTATTTTTATAAGTTTGACTTTTGTTTTCACAAAATATTTAAATTACTTGTGGAATGTCATTGTTTAGTGATTCATTAAAAAAAAAATTTATACACTTGTTGCATTTTCTAATTAATTTTTCTAATTAATTTTATAGTAAAAAAATTACCCCAAAAAAAGCATTTTACTATATAGTATTATAACCATACAGTAACATAATTACAACCCTGATATTTATTAAGTGCATATATATATATATATATATATATATATATATATATATATATATATATAATATATATATACTCATATAGTGTCGCTTTAAGAGCATTTTAATGTAAAAAAAGTCTCTTACGACTACAATTTTAATTACTCGTCTCTTAAGCTGTTTTTGATTGTCGTCGAAATGTCAAAGCAATTAATTTATGCGGAAGTACATTAAATTTAATTGTTTTTTAACAAAATTTTAAAAAACCGCAATTATAACGACTAGAAAGTTTTTTTTAATTAGTGGTGTTTTTGTTATTGATTTAATAAAAAACTTTTTTTTAAACATGCGTAAATGTTGCTACATCGACTATCTTATAGCTTGACTCGCAACGGAGTGCTGCTACATCGACTGACAAATAGCCTGACTCGCAACGGAGTGCTGCTACATCGACTGACAAATAGCCTGACTCGCAACGGAGTGCTGCTACATCGACTGACAAATAGCCTGACTCGCAAGGGAATGCTGCTACATCGACTGACAAATAGCCTGACTCGCAAGGGAGTGCTGCTACAACGACTGACAAATAGCCTGACTCGCAAGAGAGTGCTGCTACATCGACTGAGGGTTTGGTTTGGCCAGGCAGTCTATCAATTAAAAAAAAAAATTTAATTTTTAAAACTTTTTCTGGTCTGGTTTATTAACGCGCTCTTTAAAACTACAGTTTATGGGAAATATTTTTTGATGCTACGCAAGAGACATGCAAGACTATATATATATATATATATATATATATATATATATATATAATTTTTTTAATTTCCAACATTTTTAGAAGTGCACAAATAATACTTTTTTATATTTATTATCTAGTTTATGTTTTTACTAGAAAAAAAGAGCTTGCAAAGTTGTGGCAGTTCATCTAATAAATCGAGTATCAATTCAGGAGGTAACGACTTAAAGTTAAAAATTTCATTTTACTTGGCAAACATACCTAGAAATGGACCTGGTAGTACTGATGTATTTTTTAAACAGGATGGTCAGCGGTTTAATGAACAACACACAATAAAATTAGCCACGTGCTCTAACTATCAAGTAAAAATGGAGATTGAGCCAATGACGGAGTTAACGTAAACACTTTTGTATATTATTGAGATATATATACTTCTTAAACATATTTTTAGCAAGATTAATGGTTATTATTAATTTTATGGCTTTTATTAATTTAAATTAACTATATCATTAAAACTAAGTGCTAAGCATTTTCTTTTGCATTTACATATTGCAGGTTTTTCAAGCTGGGAGGTATGGACATTAAGTTTGAAAAAGTTACCAACACTGCAAATGATACCAAGTTAGTTTACCAACTATTTTGGTCAACAGCCGGTATAAGCACGACAATGAGAAAGTTTCGAACTGATGTTCCGTGTACCATAAAGTTTAAAAAATATAAAAAAATTAATTTCAAATTCCAAGTAAAATTTTACTCAAGTAACGACAGAAAACGATCTGAGTTGGGAAAAAAACTAAACTCGATTGACTTAGAATGCACTATTGGTAGAGGCTCATATACCTCCTCCGTGGATTGCAAAACCTTTAATTAATATTAGACAAGACAAGAAAAATATTAATAAAGCAATAGACGCACAGACGATTGAAAAATTCTGTTTTTGCAAATAATGTTATTAAGCAATAACTTTAATTTATCTGAAAATATCATTTATCTGAAGATAAATCTTTGAAACAAATTTGAAATTTCCAAAACAAAATTTGTTTGACAACAGTTAAGCTTATTCGCCAAAAATAATTCTATATTAAACTTTTTTTAACGATATTCGATAAACAATATGTCAAAAACGAAATATCAAAAATATTAAGTTTTTTTTTAACGATGTTCGTTTGTTAATTTTAATTAAATATTTTAAAATTCTTTTTATGCTTTTTCTCAATTAAAAATTAAACCGTTCAATAAAAAAAGTCTAATAAGTTAACAACAGAGGTAAAAGAGTTTTAACAATAGTGGTAGTTGAGGCAGATAAAAATAAAGACATTTGACTGTTTATTTGAATGGTTTATTCAAAATATGTTTATATAGTAAGAAAAAGCTTATTGTTTTAGTAGTATAGGAAATTATGCGCACGTGACACACTTCAGATTACACCTCCGCGACACACTTTAGTTTACACTCACGTGAGACACTTTAGATTACGTCCGTATACGGACACTTTAGATTACGTCCGTATACGGACGTAATCTAAAGTGTCTCACGTGAGTGTAAACTAAAGTGTGTCGCGGAGGTGTAATCTGAAGTGTGTCACGTGCGCGTAATTTCCTATGCTACTAAAACAATAAGCTTTTTCTTACTATATATATGTTACGCGTAACATAATTTAGATAACTTTTTAAAAAATTTTAAAATTTTAAATATATTTTTTTAATAAGTTTTTTGCGAAGCAATTGTTATAATAAGCTAACTGTAAAATTTTAAATATTAATATTTAAATAAGCGGATATTATGAAATGGGTATTAATAAAAGGTAAATTAGAGGAAAAAAAAAATTAATAATAGTTTTAAATCAAAAACATTATTATTATTATTTAAAAAAAATAAATAATAATAATAGAAATAATTAGAGTTAAATAATTCTACTTTTTATTTTTAGCAACAAAATAAAAAAATAAATATGTGTATATATATATATATATATATATATATATATATATATATATATATATATATATATATATATATATATATATATATATATATATATACAGGGCCGGCGCGAGTAGGTGTCACGTGGGGGGTGGAGGGGTGGTGCTATTATCACTATTGTCGACTAAAAAAAATAAAAATGTCCTCGTTTTCGAAAATTTGCCGATTGCATGACGACATTTGCCGACTAACTGTTTAAACTACCGACTACCCAATATCGAAAGGGTCGACATTTGCCGACTAACTAGTCGAAAAGGGTCAAATTTGCCGACTAAGGGTCAAATTTGCCGACTAAAAATCATTGATGAGGGGGGGGGGGAGTTACACCCCCACACACACCCTTCGCGCCGGCCTAGTATATATATATGTATATATATATATATACATATATATATATATATATATATATATATATATATATATATATATATATATATATATATACATATATATATATATATATATATATATATATATATATATATATATATATATATATATATATATATATATATATATATATATATATATATATATATATATATATATATATATATATATATATATATATATTGCAAAACATTCAAACGTTTATTAAACTTATTGTAAGATCTAGAATAATTTAAAGATCTAGATTAATCCAATGATATATTATATAAGCTAGATGTCTAACTTTGATCTGAAAAGTAAAGCCGCTTTTGCCCTTTTTACAAATGGCGGATAAAATTTGTAAACAAATATTATTGAACTTTTCTTTTCTTAAATGATGTAAATATATTTTAAATATAAATATTATTTATGTAAAAGTGTTAACAGGAAATTAGAATGCTTGTAAAATAATAATTTATGTTTCATAAATTCATTTTCCATTAGAAAGAGTTCAAAGTTTTGAATGGAAAAGCAAAAGGACAGACGCTTTAAAGCATTTTTATGAATCAAAATACTTTTTAATAAACATAAGCTCATTAAAGAACTTTTATAAGTATTTTATAATTACTAAAACTTGTTTTTGAATTACCTTTAATTTATTGGAAACTTTAATTTATTGGAAACTTTTTAACTTCAGCTTTTGCCTTTTTTACAAATGGCAGGCTAAATTTATAAACAAAAAAAAAAGCGGCTTTATTATTCGTCCGATAAAATACCGCAAGTTAGACATCTAGTTTATATAATATATCATTGGACAAAACCTATCCGAGTGGACACGGACCTAAAAAGAACGTCTTTTAAACGTCTTATACACGTTTTGGACGTCTTTTGAACGTCTTTTAAATGTTTTGAACGTTCAAAAGACGTCTTTTTTTGGTCCGGTGCCCACTGGGATTAAATGATTTAGATAATCCGAAATGTAGCTGGGTCAGACCTATTAACCTGGATCAGACCTGAGGTAAACCTGGGTAAAACCTGGGTACCAAAAGTAGTAACAATTGATTTTTAAAACTTTGAATGAGATTATGAAAAAAATTTTATATAGTGTTTGATACTGTCATTTATTGTGTAATTTAAATACTAAATTTCCATTATTTATAGAAAATGAAAGTAGGAATATTTTATGCTTGTGTTAAAAGTGTACATCTCAGATGATTATTTCTTATAAAGTTAATTTACAACAGTTACGGGTGTAATAATAATAAATAACAACATATACAACATGATATAAATACAAACAAATAGTGGCTATGATATATTTAAACAAAAATGGTCATTATTATTTTATCACATTTTTTGAAAAAAAAAACAATGACGTAATTGGGTCATTGTTTATTTTTTAACTTTTATGATTTTATTTATTTATTGTTAAAAAATTAAAAAAATAATCTTTTTTGATCTTTTTATTCAAAAAAATCTTTTAATATGTATTTTAAAGAAGCATAACAACGCCCCTAGCAACGTATTGATGACCAAAAAATTGGTCAGCACTATAGCAGACGCTTATGTTGATTACGCGTAAAGCAATACTTGTGACTCATGATCAAAATACAAGTGGTTTAAGAATTAAAACTACAGCTGCTTATAATTTATAAAATGCATAAGTTTCTAACTTTTTTATTACTTTATCAATATTTTATTATCATATAACAACTACATAAACAACAACAACAAAATATGTCTTGTCTCCTGTCTATGAATGTTGCTGGCTAGGACAAACCACCTGGAAGACCCCTCATTAGCGGCGTCCTTTTGTTTGAGAGTTTATTTGACATTAGAATGAACTTCTTTTATACGTATAATCATTATAGCATAAATAAGGTTATCAAAACAAATTGCAGTTAATAAGGTTACAACTAATTGGTGTTAACACGCAACACCAATTAGTTGTAACCTTATTAACTGTGCGATGTTTACGCATTACTCTGGTGCTGCTATGGCAAACTTGCAGTTTAAGAATTTCATTGTTTGGACATTGTTTGAATTGATCACAGTTACAATTATTGGTCACAAGTTTTAAACTACAATTTGTGAAATATGTTTTTTGCCAAAAGAGTAAAGTTTCTCGGCTAAAAAAAAAAAATGGAACTTATTTAAAGATCAAAAATCATCTTTTGAGGAGTTTCCTCGTTCTGAAATATAATTAATATTTAATTTATTATAATTTTATACAATAACAACAATAATAATTATAACAACTCACCGACAAAAATAGCATAAGTAACAAAGACAAAAATAGCAAAAGTAGTAGAGACAAAAGTAACAAAAAAAAACTTTCTTTTTATATTTCAACATTTTCTGGGACATAATAAAGAGGCTTGTTTTTCAAAATGTTAACCTTTACCCCAAATTGAATAAGCCTTTCTAGACAGTTTTTAAGGTATAATCAACCCCATCTAAACAATTTTTTTTTTAATTTACAATGTAGTTTATAAATTCTTTGAAAACCAAGCCGACGACGCAAAATGGATTACCTCCCCGAAAAGTTAACTCCCAGTTAAAACATTTTAATCAAGATAATAATAATATTGAACGAGCTTCAGTGAGCCTTTCTCTTTTGCTAACAATAATGTTTGAGATTATAGAATTTATATAGCTAACTAGTTAGTTATCTAAATATATATATATATATATATATATATATATATATATATATATATATATATATATATATATATATATATATATATATATAATGATTATAAATTGTTGAAGGTTAATTCTGCATTGTTGTTTCAACAAAATGTCGCTCAAACACAAATATGTTTGAGCGACATATTGTTTACCTAGCCCTTATTTGAAGCCTAATAATTTCAATTACTTATTTGCAATTTAAACTTACTAAACTTAGTATATTTATTAAACTTCTTAAATTCATTAAAATTATTAATAAAATTAATAAGTTTTCCAGTTAGTACACGTCGTAAAGGGACGTCCGTAGGACGTCTTACAGAAATGCCAACTGGGTTGGTGTTAATTATAAGTAACAAATTTCATCTGAACGCTGATAAAAATAAAATTATACTATCCGATAAATCAAATAAAATTGATAACACTCTATTGAAATTACCAAATTTTATTATAAACAAAACTACAATTTAAAAAAAAAAAAATTTAGGCGTGGAGTTGGATGGAAATTTCCGAACTTCATGTAAACAATCGAGAAATAAAAATTGGATTTATAGAGCTAAACCATTTCTTAGTTTTAAATCACTAAAAGGTTTATACTTTGCACTTTTTCGTAGCTACTTAACATACTTTAACATCGCTTAGGCCAATCATACGAAATTTTTTTTTGAGGATATTGCTATCATATGCAACCCAAGTGAATAGCGACTAAATACAAAGAGTTTATTTCAGAGCCTTAAAGCCGCGTTCTTTCACATTGGAAACCCCGACACGCCCATTACCCCAACTGAAAGAACAAAAATATTAAAATTTTCTTGTTCTTTCTAAATAAAATTAAAAGTTGAATAAAAATTGAATCATAAAATCAAAATCTGTGCTTGATGTAGTCGTTTTTCCACAGTGTTTAGACATAAGCAATTAAAAAATTTTACTTTAAATCCAAGGACTAAAGTTGTATTACATACATACACTATT